GCTTTTCTTCATGCGCATTGGGTCGAGCTGGAAAAGGTTTGACACACCACGCTGTCAACAAAATCTAACACAGACCTTGCTCACAAGGACAAAGCTGCCAAGGTCGTTGTCCAGAGAACTTGAGCCTTTACTTACAACGTGTGTGTGTCTGTGTGTGTCTGTGTGTGTTTGTGTGAGACTTGACCTTTCTAAAATATCGTCCAACATTCCAGAGATTACTGATCTTTCAAGGGCCTCGCTGCTGCATGTTCAGCTGCTTTTTACAACCATTTTGAATGAAGGGAAAGTTTAGATCTTTAGATGTGGGCTTCTGTGGAAAGGCTGTGAACAGTTAATATCTTACCTGATGTAGATAGCTTGTCAAACAACCTCAGATTGGAGAAATAGAGTTAAGCTAACAGCTGATCCAAGTGGTACCAAGACCAGTGCAGTTGGGCCACCTTAAAACAACTCCAGCTTTAAAATGTTCATAACGATTCATGCAAAGTCTAGTTTATAAAACTTTATATTGTTGTCAATTTGCACTTGCTTATTTATTTTAAATTTGTTTACTATAAAAAATAAAAGAAACTAGGTGTAGCATTTTCTGCACAGCCTGGAGCACTTCTTGCATATATACGGTAGATCCTCAGTTATTGCGGGGGTTACATTCTACACACCCCCACGATAGGTGAAATACTGTGAAGTAGCAATGCTATATTTATTTTAGTATTGATGTGTATTTATATATATATATATATTAAGGCTTTACAAACACTTCCCACACTAAATGAATGGAATTGAGGTTCAAGAAGCTTCAGGAAGCTTCAGGATTTGCAACTTTCCTGCCAGTTCTGTGAGCTTAATAGTTGGCGTAGATTTGCATTTCAAAACTTTCCCTCCATTTGGCAGCAAGCTGCGGCGGGAAGCACTGTTGGCTTCTGGGTAATGTAGTTCTTTTGACTGGCAATACAATGTAGGCTTATAGAAAGAAAGTTATAAAATGTGCCTGTCCGAAGTATATTTTTGTTAATTTTTTATCTCATACTGTCCCAATCACGTAATATTAAAGATGATAATCGTTGAAAAAGCAGGAAATAATGAGTCTGCGAATGTCGAACCGCAAAGTAGCGAGGGATTACTAT